ATTCTAAACCCATAAAAATCATAGTATTAAATCATCAGAGTACAAATTATTTCAAATGTGGAAACCATGAGAGGAGGATGTTGTGCCATCACATCAGACCCTTCTTTTTGGAACTGGAAGTCCTTGAAACCATAAAAGAAATTGTAAGCATAATGCTTAGTGAGTTCCCCAAGTACCAAAGACCACACATGAAAGAAGATAAATGTTATGAGCCAAATCATAGTCATTCTGTTCAATGTCGAGGGCCAAATATAGGTATTACATACAAATGCTAGGGATCAGATCCTAGTCTTTCATATAACTGTCAGCGAGCAGATCCTGGTCTTTCATACAAATGTTAGAGGCCAAATCCTGGTCTTTCATATAATCATCACAAGACATCCAAAATTCTACACAACAAACAATGGGCCGAAGTGTGGTATTGGTATTTTGGGGGTAGCTCACTTAGCCCTCGGGCTTACAGTTTTCAGTTTATTGTTTCAGGTACTTCAGGAGATCATGGAAAGGCGAAGGCGTGACCGTACCGCTCCTCATCCTTATGTTATGATTTTTGGGACACTCTGATGGATAATGATTTGAAACATTTTTGTAAACAAACACTTTTTGATTTTATTTATAATTTTAAAAAGTTTAAATTTGGCGTAAAATTTATGGATGTATCAAGTTGGTATCAGAGCCTTGGTTTGAGTGAATCGGAGGAACACTCATGTGAATCCAGTCTCAAATCAAGGAGATTTTCGGAAAGTAAGTTTTAAAATGGTTTTCAAAATAAAGGATGGAGGATACAGAGGGTACGATTAGTCGGAGCCTGTAAGTAAACCCCAAAATACCATGCAACTATTTGATATTCTGATATGTTAGAACAACATGCTAGTGCTAGGCTAGGGATCTTCAGGAATCACATGATAGATTTTCCTGATTAAATGATGCCTATTAGACTAGGGTTTCTTGTACGTGAAATTGACATCATAACTGTAGATGTTTAGTGTATGCATCACGGTTGTGCATAATAAAGACATTATACCCTGAGAATGTTGATTCGGCCTTCGGGTAGGATTGGATATTCGAAAGTCTATTGGGTCCAGTGTTATGTGCAGCTAGCGTGCATTGGCGCTGCAGGGGATGATGGAAGTTTCATGGATGTGTGAGTCGTGATAAGTGGTGAGACTAGATGCGAGATATTTGGTATTCCCCTAGTAGTGAGGGTTAAGTGCATTTCCTATGTTGATGATATTGTTAGGGCGTTGTGGTGATACTTGAGACAAATATGAGTAGGTGTGGAAGGTAGTATGGGCTCGTACTACTGAAAGCACATGACCCATACGCGTAGCAAGGAAATCACAACCCCTAGGGTTTGTTGGTTTTGGTCTCCCGACATTATGTTATTTATTTGATGACTTGTGTGTGTGTGTGTGTGTGTGTGTGTATATATATCAGTATGGTAGTGACGAGACGTATTGCTTCGTGATCCGGATCAGGATCAGGATCAGGGTCGGGAAACGGAGGGTTGGAGGTGTCGGTAGCACCTGAGCCCATGGTTCAGATAGGGACCGAGGAGTTGGATACCAGGATCCGGGAGATCATGCACGACGAGATTGCTGTTGCATTCCGAGCGCAACTTCCAGAAATGTTTGGGTTGATTAAGACCGCGATGATGGAGTACTTTGATGAGCGATATGCAGCTCTAGCAGAGACAGCTGCCGCTGCAGCCACTTCGGCTGTAACTGTGGCAGGGGTTGGATGAGGAGTCGGTAGGGCTTTCCAGTACCGGGACTTCGATAATATAAAGGCCCCGACATTTGATGGTACACAGGATACGATCAGGGCTATGCGGTGGTTGTCTAATGTGGAGGGATGTTTCTTCACGTGTTCATCTCCTGCTAACCAGAAGGTCAGGTGTGCTCTGAACCTGCTTAGGCTCGGGGCAAAGGACTGGTAGAGATTGACGACAGGTTCATATTCTGATGATCAGCGGGTTGCTATTACTTCGGAGCAGTTCCGGGATATGTTTCGCACCCGCTACGTTCCGCGCGTGGAACAGGAGTGGCTTGCTCAGGAGTTCTTAACAGGGAGTCTGTGATGGAGATCACCCGGATGTTCATTGAGAGGGCTATATTTTTCCCGAAGTTTGTGTCAGAGCAGTCTCAGATGACTCGTTATCTGAGTATGCTCAATTCAGATATATTGCAGTTTGTGGCTACACAGCGTTGTGATACCCTATTGGACCTTCAGGAAGCCGCGAGATGACGTGAGTTGGAGATAGAGCTGCAACTGAAGGAGCAGCGCCAGGCACCGACACAGTTTCAGCCGACGCCTAAGTGGTCTAAGACCGCTGATACACGGCCTGGGGTGTAACACCCCGAGATTTAGGTACATTTATTTCACCCTTATTCTTTGTCAATTGGTCATGATTGGTCCTTGAGTGGAGGAAGCCTTGCAAGTGAATACACTGAGCGTACCAGAGGGGTACACTGCACGTACTCATGCGCTTATTTTTGGACGCGGAGTCGCTAGGTACGCTAGGCGTACCCATAGTTACGCCGGGCGTACCCAGCCCAGATGCAAAACCCTAATAAGACTTGTGCACTATTTAAGGGATGCTAAGGCTCATTTCTCAACCTCCATATCAGTGAGTAAAACCCTAAGAGAGAGCCTTCCATCGTCCTTAGTGAGTGTGTGTGTTCTTGGAGCTAATAGTGCCTTAGTGTGTTATTGAAGAAGGAAGAAAGGAGCTTGTGGAGTCTAAAAGCTTGAAGTGTAAGTTTGGATCTGAGATCTACAGAGAAAGGAGCTGCATTTAGAGGTATAAAGTTCAAAACTTTCCTCTTCTTTTTGGTTGTTGTTGCATGTGCCATTTCTAGGGTTAAAACCCCCAAAGGTGGAGACTTTATGAGTGTAAGGTGCTCCATGGTTCCAAGATCGGTCCCTTTTCAGTAGTATTTGTGGTCTAGATTCATAAAGTCCCCATCTTGGTCGTTGATATGAGGTAATGCTTGAGTTCTATGCCTTTTAGGGTTAGAGAATGAGATGTTTTGGGTGCTAGTGACTTATTCAGCCATGCAAGGGCTTAAAGTCATCGACTTTATGGTTTTGGAAGCTTAGAAATGGTCAGATCTAAAAGTTGGATGTGGGTCTTAACTGTTTAAGACCCCAAGAGCTGAAGGACTGAAACTGGGTATTACGTCGGGCGTAATTCCAGTACGCGCGGCATAGGGGGTGGTGCACCCCGATCCGCTGAAGTTAGCGATTACGCCCAGTGTACATGTTTGGTACACGTAGCGTAACCCGAAGGGTTGACTTTTGTCGACTTTTAGGGTTTGGTCAACTTTAGGGTATTTGAGCCATGTGAAGGGTAAAATGGTCTTTTACCCTCATGAGAGTATTAAGAGAAGGGATGGTCTAGCCTTGGGAAATGTGTTGATATCGAGTACTTATTTCATATGATTATACGGAGGATAGGTCTTATCCCACGGAGTCCGAGATTTCCGAGATTTACGAGTTACCGAGCTACACGAGGTGAGTCTTCTCACTATACGTTATCTAGAGTGGTATTTATGTGGACCGGAGGGTCTTATGTGTTATGTATGAGATTATGTGAATCTATGTGCTATGTGATATTTGTATGCTATATGATTATGTAGACCGGACCGAAAGGTCCAACGATACAGACCGGACCAGAGGGTCCAATGATTTAGACCGGGCCGAAGGGCCCAACGAATTACGAAACTGGAGGGTTCCGCCGAGACACATCGACCGGAGGGTTGTACAGTAGCCTCGAGTGGTGTATGTGCTGTATGTGGTATTTTGGGGAACTCACTAAGCTTTATGCTTATAGTTGTTGTGTTTTGTGTCTCAGGTACTAGCGAGGACCGTGGGAAGGCGCCGGCGTGACCCGTACACATTAGAGAAAGGATTTGATTTTATATGATCTTGGGAAATGTCATATTTGATAACAATTGTTGAATACTTTTGAGAATGTTTTGCTTAATTTTGGTTGTTGAAAAATGAAAATTTTGTTTTAAAATCTCGTCGTTACATGGGGGCCATCAGAGCCACACTTGTGGAAAGTGTGGCAAGGATCATTCGGGGTTTGTCGAGCAGGAGGTGGGTACCAAAAATGTGGCAAGGAGGGGCACTATGCCAGGGACTGCCGTCAGTCCTCCCCTCCAACAGATATGAGGATTTGTTACCAGTGTCATCAGGTTGGTCATGTGAAGACCAACTGTCCGCAGCTCGCCGCCAAGCCGGCGCAAGGTTCCACGCCAGCTACTTTGAGGATTGGAGATGGGAGACCAGTCAAGGTGGAGCCTCCGAAGTCTCAGGGTCACGCCTTCTAGCTCCCGGCCGAGGAGACCAAGTTAGCACCGGATGTGGTTGCTAGTACTTTTCTATTCTCTGTCTCAGTTATTGTACTTGTGTTATGCTTGTTGATTGTACCTCGATTGTTTGTGTCTCAAACCTTCTTTAGAGGGTTCAGTGTGCCGATAATTGATCTTGAGTGCTCGTTGCCACTACTAGAAAATTAGCCTTTTACGACGCGCAATTTATGATACGCATCGATTTACGATATGCAAAAGTGTGCGGCCTAAAAATAATGTCATCTCTCTATAAATTTTAAGGATTTAAGACGTGTATTTTTGCGTGCGCTTAAATTAGTGTCTAAAAAAAACACGGAGGGTGCCTATAATAAAATGTGTGTCGTCTGAAGACGTCGCTTTATAAATTTTAATGGAAATGCGCGTTCCATCATTTAATAGCCGAGGGGGGGGGGGGGGGAGGGAAATGAAATCCAAAAAAATTAAAAAGCCTGCCTCCCTTTTTCTTCCTTTCCCTCTTGCCCTAATTATCGACGCTCCTTCCAAGCAGCCGACAACCTTCACACTCTCCTTTTCCTTTTCTCTATAAACGACTCTTCGATTGGCTCCGGTTAAAAATTAGATGTGGGTGTGTAATCGCAACTTTTGATCTTTTGGTTTTGGTTGGCATTTGTGTCTGTTCAGATGTCTTCCAATCTACATTGGACATCGACATCGTTACTTGCCATTCCGTCCAGGTCGTCGACGTCGATCAAGGCAAGCACGCCACCAGCCAACAACCTTCACTCTCCCCTTTTCATTTTCTCTGTAAACCCTAATCTGCCTCCACCAGTACGGAATCTACCTCAACTCACCTCTAACCTTGGCTCATATCTTTCTGATCGCTGCTAATGAACTATTTTGTGTTTAATTTGGAAGCAAATTGCGATTTAATTTGTACATTGGAAGCCTAGATGACAGGTTCGATACGGTGGCAGCGTTTGTCTCGCTTGCGAGTGACAACGATTGGTATGGGAAGTTGATAATTAAAGAAGGTGGAGACAATCCGTTGCTGAAATTGGTGAAAGAAGGGAAACCAGAAGGTCAGGAGAATGTTGCGTCTGCAATCGGATTGCTACGTCGTGATCCTGAGAGCGTTGAACACATGATTCACGTCGGTGTATGCTCAATGTTTATTAAACACAGATAGTCAGTCTACGCATCCTGATGAAGGTAAACTGCTTTGTTTTCATGTATTTGGAGGAGTTTTTATTCATTACAAAGGCCTCTATTTTGTCAAATATTTTAGAAAGAAGAGGGATTGATATCTCAATACACATGATGAACTTGAGATTTAATTTGCAGTGACAACACTGAGGGCTATTAGGCAAAGCTTTATCGATCAAAACAGTAGGCTTAGTAATTGGATGCGTGGAGATCCATGTGTATCAAATTGGACTGGAGTCCTGTGCTTCAGCAAAACCCTAGACAATGGTTATCTTCATATTCGAGAACTGTAAGATATTAATTCTCCAATTTATATGATTGTAACTATAAGTTTTAAAGAGACAATATATAACCAGAACATCTAAGTCTGTGTGTGATTTTTGTAGGCAACTACTGAATCTCAATCTTTCTGGAACTTTATCTCCAGAAATAAGGCAATTATCTTATATGCAAATATTGTGAGCCAAGTTCCTAATTTCACCTACATTACTTTGTTTCCTTTTTCTTGATAATATTTTGTTATGCATATAACATATTTGCTCTTGATCTTAAAGGGATATCATGTGGAACAACATAGGTGGGAGCATACCAAAAGAGATAGACCAACTTACATCCTTGAAATTCTTGTAGCTTTATTTCCTTTTTCCTGTTTAATTAATTAATGAGTAGATATTGAACCATTCAAGGTAATCTGTAATTATGTGCATGCAGGCTTTTAAATGGAAACAATCTAACAGGCTCCTTGCCAGAAGAGATTGGGAATCTCCCCAATTTGAACCGCATACAAATCGACCAGAATCACATATCTGGACCAACACCAGTCTCATTTTCAAAACTGAACAACACAAAGCACTTGTAATTTTATTATTATTTGTTCCTATATTTTTATTTTCTGATTTCTATATGATGACTACTAGTATTATCATATGTGGGTTTGTAGTCATATGAACTATAATTCACGTTGAAGGAAGTATACCTTCCTCTCATGGCAACATGCTTCAATTGACCAAGTTGTAAGTGTAGTTTAAGTTTTAATAAACTTTAGTAATGATGAATTTCAATACATAACACTCTAATCCAAGATTACTTTTGGTGTTGCAGAAGTTTTAGGAATTGCAATTTGCAAGGATCAATCCCTGATCTTAGCAAGACACCACATCTTACTAATATGTAAGTATGAAATAAATCTTGAATGTTTTGGAGTGAAGTCTTTTTTAAGTTGTTCGTTTGATGACAATTTATATATTTTAGAGACCTGAGTGATAACAATCTTAATGACACGGTTTTACTTTTCATATTAATCAAACTCCTTTCATTTCACTACTATTATTATGTATGGGAGCAATTTACTTTCCTTGAGCAAAAGATCAATCTGATTTAATATTAGTGCCATATTAGTCTTGGGTTTTTTTATCCATCCGTGCATGTTCCAGTTAGTGCTTATTAACAATTTAGATGCAGCCCCTAAGACGAGATCATAGTAAAGTATGACTAAATGATGCATATACTTTCTTGGATTATTGACTTATCTTTTTCTTGACTAAGTTTCAAGCTACATTCCTTTTACATCTCTCAGGCTTGTTTTTGACCACGAAAGGGAGGATCTTTTCGGATGCCATGATGCCCATATTCGTTGTATCGAGTACTCTTATGCAACTGGTTAGTTTCATTCTTTTCGTCATTTCTTTTTATCTTTTTTTAATTCTTTTTCTTGATAAAGGTGTGTGACATGTTGGTGGTTTTTAGGGAAAGTGATTATAGGGAGTTGGGACAAAACTTTGAAGTGTTGGGACCTACGTGGTGGAGTTGCACAGGAGCGTGCTCTTGTGGGGACATATGGATAACAAGAGAGAGTTTATTCTATATCACTTGTTGGAAACCGTGTAGTGGTGGCAACTGCTGGAAGACATGTTAATGTGTATGATTTGAGGAATATGTCTCAACCTGAACAAAGAAGAGAGTCTTCATTGAAATATCAAACTAGATGTGTTCAATGTTATCCTAATGGCACTAGGATTTTGACCTAATTTTAAACCCTAAATCTTAAAAACCCATAAACCCTAATTGATGAAAGATGATGTTTTGCAGGGTATGCACTTAGCTCTGTGGAAGGTCATGTTGCAATGGAGTTTTTTGAGCTTACTGAGACTGGTCAAGCCAAAAAGTATGTATTTTTTTGTTACACATTTCATAAACAAAAAATATATTTCAATTTTTACAAACAATTGTCTTTCAGCTACTTTTAGTTTCTAGTATTGGAAATTGATGGTTTTAAGATTTATTCAGATATGCATTCAAGTGTCATAGGAAATCAGAAGTTGGAAGATACATTGTTTACCCTGTAAATGCCATTGCATTTCACCCTGTGTAACTTATTTATTTTTTTAGTTAGTTAATACTTAATATCTTTACCTTTTATACTATATATATATATATATATATATATATATATATATATATATATATATATATATTTATGTAAACACTTCAAATATAATAAAGAGTAAATTACATTTTTGTCCTTAAGTATAACTGGTTTTTTCAATTTCGCTCGAGTTTTTTGTAACGTTTTTGGTCCACGTTCCAAGAAAATGTTTATCGAGTAAATTACATTGTTGGTTACTGAGTTTGTTCAAAGTTTACATTTTTGGTCCTTACACAATTTTGGTGTCTATTATGTTGTGGAAATGATTTTGGTCCCTAGGTTTGCTAAAAAAATTATGTTTTTACTAGTTTCCTCTTGCACATTGATGGTTACAAGTTGATGACAAGAACAGTGTTCTAAGACCATCTACTAAAGCAAGGTTGGTGTAAGAGTTGATGACGAGAACATTGTTCCAAGATCTTCAATGAGTTATGATGATGTCCCTTAATAGCAATGTAGTATTAGGTTATATAGTTAGGGATGATTATTTGCATGTGATATGTTAGTGCAATGAATTATCTTTCTTATTTATTGTATTTTATTTTGTATTTTGTATGATATGAACTTTTGTGCAATCGATCATATTTTTTGTATATGGTATTTTAGTTTCTATTATGAGAAATGAAATGTAAATTTAATTTGAAAACTAGTAAATCTATAAATAATTTTTTTAAAATAAAAATAAAATAAAATTTACGATACGCAAATATGTGTGTCATCTTCATTTATGACATGGCCTTTCTTGACAGCGGCTTTAATGATACGCATTCCGTGTCATAAATGTGCATCGTAAATGCGCGTCGTCTCTCGTTATGACAGGGTCTTCCTTGACGCGCATTTGCGCGTCATCTGAGCGTTTTACGACGCGCAATTTGCATCGTAAAAGGCTGTTTTTCTAGTAGTGGGGATCAGGTATGGGATTGAGGGTGTAGGGATAGTCTCTGTAGCTTAGGAGAGTGCAAGAGTGAAAGGGGAGTTGAGATTTCTGTGCCAAAACCCGGGGCTTTTTCACTCTATTTATAGTGCAAAAACCCCCCGTACGCTGGGCGTACTCTAGGGGTACGTTGGGCGTACTCCGGAGTCATCAGCGCTTACGACTCGAGCCAAGCTAGTCTGCTAGCTGATGGGACGCGACCCTACATCTGAGTACACTGGGCGTACTCTTAAATTACGCTGGGCATAATTCGTATTCCCAACTTCTAAATTCCGTAACTTTCGCGTACGAGCTCCGTTTTTCGCATTCTTTATATCCTTGGTAGGTGAGACCATGCTCTACAACTTTCATTTAGACTCCATCAGCTAGTTTTGACTTTATTTTTAATAGTATGTTTTTAGTAGGCCGAGACTGCTAAAGTCCGTTAAAAATCCATAACTTCTTTATCCGACGTCTGTTTTCGTCTGTCTTTTTACCATTGTACTCTTGTTGTGGAGACCTTCAGTTCCCGTTTAGGTTGCGTTAGCTAAAAATCGTTCGATCTTTAATTCGAGTTTTTAGCTCTCTACCGTTGTTACGAAACGTAGAAAATTCGTAACTTTTTCATACGATGTACAATTTGGGCGATCTTTTTATGCACATTCACGGCTTAACGTAATATACGACTTTCGTTTAGATACCTAAGGCTAAATGCATTTTATTGGAATTTCACTTTTTACGTTTAATAATGTTTTACCGGGTGTGTCGTGAATATTCGAGTGGTTATAATCTTTTCATTATAACTCAGTTTTGAACGTGCTTTATGTTTTTGGAAACCTTGGCACGATATCTAACTTTTGGTGCATCCCAAATTTAGATTTTTGAACACTTTATTTTTGAAGTTAATTTCGTTGATTCCAAATAGTTCGTTGTATTTGACTTTTGAGTGTTACATTGATTTGGAAAAATATAGGGTTGTCACGTAACTTGATGAGTCAGTTAGGGTTTTCCCCAATGAGTCTGGACACATGGTAACTCAACGAGTTGATGAGTCAACTCGACGAGTTGAGTTGGACTTTTGCGATATTTCTGAGAAAACATAGGAACTCGACGAGTCGCATAGATGCACTCGTCGAGCTGAGTTAACATGGACTGTTGACTCGAGTCTAAACTTTTTTTTGACTTTTAGGGTTGGTCAAGACATGGATTATGGATACCATGGAGGGTTAAAATGGTCTTTTACCCTTTCCAATAGTTAGAGAAAGCGATTAGCTTAAATTATTTGAGTTGAGGTTATAAGTGTTAACTAGAAATTATTATGACGTGTAGGTGAGGATTAGACCGTTCGAGGGGTACGAGGTTTACTTGCTTACTTACAAGGTGAGTCTTCTCACTATACTTACCATAAGTGGTAAATTTGTGTGTAACCTGAGGGTCTTGTATGCTATTAATGAGTTAGGATCGGAGGGTCCAATCCGAGTTGTGGGACCGGAGGATCTCCATTGAAACACAGTGACCAGAGGGTCATCATCAAGATATATATATATATGAGAGGCTAATGAGATGTGTATGGTATTTTGGGGAGCTCACTAAGCTTTGTTCTTACCGTGTTATGTGATATGTGTTTCAGGTACTTCTCAGGATCACGGGAGGGCGCCGACTTGAATGTACACACGAGATGGCGTTATGTTTTTGAGGATCCTGGATTTTTATTCAAAAAATTATAGATTTGTGTTTTGATAATTTGAAACTTTGGGGTTTTTGTGAAATATGTTAATGAGAATTATGTGATTTTAATATGAAAATTTTGTTTGAAATTTAACGGTGTTACATACAGCCTCAACCCAACCACACTATGTTGACATATGCAACAAATAAACATATAACAATCAAAATAGATAGTCATGTAGATCTACCAGATCAATATAACATATCAACATGTAGATCTACCATGATACATAACCTAGTGGGCCGTCATTGGTGCCTTCGACCCACAGGTACAATGAGAAAAACTCAGCCTACAGTCTGAAAAGATAGTAGGAAAGAATGCTACTCCAAAAGTCAACTCTATAGGTCACCTATACAAAAAACAATGACCTAAATTCAAACCACAACTCAAAATATCCAAAATGCCCCTAAGTAAAACTTGGTCAAAACTTGATTAAAGGTCAAAGTCAACAAGAAAAAAGTGAAAGTTGACTAAGTACACCCAACCTACTCAACCATTATGTCGAGCTTAGTCGAGATTTCAGCCAAAAATACGAGACACAAACCCCGTACGTGTAGTGTACCACTTTGTATGCCCAACTTACGTCTTTTGAGCTCATTCCTTCTCATTAAGTGCTTAATCCTTAAGGGTTTGCCCAACTTACGTCTTTTGAGCTCATTCCTTCTCAATAAGTGCTTAATCCTTAAGGGTTTTCCATCCAAACTTAGATCTAGACTCAAAACATCGTCTTAAATCATAAAGTTTCTACCTTTATGACTTTCCATGGCTAGAAAAGATCCAAAAGCTTAAACCCTAATTTATTAATCTATTAAGACATCATAAATCTTGCATGGAAGGGATAGAAGGACCACAATCACATTTTTTTGGTTCCTAACACCTAAAAACATATGAATGGACAACTCTACTGGTTAAAGTAATCCATAATCCTGAACACCAAGCTGATGGGGTCAAAATGAACAGAAATTCAATGTCACAACTAGCCTTTTTGGCTAGGAAATTTCACTCTCAAGTAAGCAAGGACTATTGTGAGACTTGTGCTAACATACCTAAGTGTTCAATATGAGTTCCTAAGGATCCATATACTGTTAGAATGCAAATCTCTCCAAGTATAGTGAATCTCTCCCAAATCTCTCCAATTATGTGAAATCTCTCCTAAAACTCCCCAAGTATGTGAACTCTCTCCCAAATCTCTCCAAGTATATGAAATCTCTCTAAGTATGCGAAATCTCTCCAAGTATAGTGAATCTCTCCCAAATCTCTCCAAGTATAGTAAATAGTAAATCTCTCCAAGTATGTGAAATCTCTCCACATATCTTAAATCTCCTTACGTACCTTCCTCAGTCGAAAACAACTCAAAACCAGAAGAGGAAACCCCAAAAGGACCCTCTTAGTCCGGAATCTCTTGGTTTCGAACCTCTTGCTCCTGAACCTCTTAGTCCGGAATACCTTCTAAGGAGCCAAGAGGAATTGCACTCCGAAATGCCCATGCTTTGCTTCAGATCTCATCTGCTCCGGAAGGGTGAAGCCCTACTTCGGATCCTCTGATGGATTAACGAGAAGCCTCTCATCCGAACGTAAGCCTCGCTTCGAAAGCCTGGCCGGCCAATTTCGCACCTCGGTCCGGAAGTGAGGATTGACTCTGGATCTCGCCTGCTGAATCCAGAACCTTAAGAATTATTCCGGAACTCCTTGCCAACCACTTCGGAACCTCGCATGCCTAACCCTCCCCTCCGGAATTTAAGTTATGGCTTTGGAATTCGCATAAAGGCTCTGTAATTCATCCTGTAGCTCCGGATTTTGGACTATTTCAGACCTTTTCTCCATTTTGGGGTGTTTTGAGGTCGAGAATCCCACCAAACTCGTGTTTTTCTTAACTAAGACCCCTAAAACCCCTATTTTATACTAAAATAAACTATTTTAAGCATATTTACATAAAAATAAAAAGGTTTAGGATTTAGGAAAACCTTATCCCAAATCAAGAAAAGGACAAGGAAGTTAACTTTGTGATTTGATGAAATCCTTATTTCCCATGCAAATCATAACCATGCTTTACCCACCAAATATCTGTGCATGGACCACCAGATCCCCATGCACCAAATATTCCCACCTTTTCTTATACTCCAAAGCAACGACAGTAAAGGGGTTTAGACTTCACCTTCTCTCTCACTTTTCCCATTCCCCCCCCCCCCTCTCAAAACTCATTTTCAAGGCAAGAACAAAGATCTTGCTGGAAGTTGTAAGGTAAATTCCTTCACCCACCTAATATTTTATTATATTTCAAGATGAATCCATATTATTTTATTC